CAGCAGGTCGAGGCTGCGGTGGCCGGGAGCAGCCACTGCACTCCAGACTGGGCGACAGAGCGAGACTCCAACTCAAAAAAAAAAAAACACAACAACTATAGAATAATGTGGTAAACACCCACGTATCCATCACCTGCCCGTAGCCTTGACTTTTGGTCATCATTTAATCCCATATTTGTAACAGAAGTAAGACAGCAGAGATGGCGCTGAAGCCCCGTCCCTAATTCCATTCCCCCAGACGAGGACTCTTGTCTGTCTTGAGTTTGCTGTGCGCCTTCACTCCTGATCGAAGCAGCCACACGTATGTAGTGAGTGCAAGCTTCCACACATGACATAGACGCCTCGCTGTGTCTGGTCTGCGCTTTGCTCTTCGAGCTCCCTGTGATGCCTCTGGCGTTGGTACGTGCAGCCGCAGTTCTTACACTCACTGCTGTCTGCAGCCGATCGCAAATTGTGTGACCATGCTGCTGTGGATGCCCAGTCTCCTGTGACGGGCCGTTTCCAGTTTTTGCTGTTTTGGGCAAGGCCTCAGTAAACACTCTGCGCTCACCTCGAGTGTGCAGAAGAGACGTGATGCCCGGTGAGGGGCAGTTCCGTCTTGGAGCGGGCCTCGTCCTGGCTTCCTCTTGCCCTGGGATTAAAACACGGGCATCAGGCACGGCCCGTTCCGAGGCCCCACCCTGAATTTCACTCAGGCCTCAGCCCCACCAGCTGCCTCCTTACCACCTCCCGCTCTGACTGTCTGGAACAACCTGCCTCCCTTCTCACCGCTCCTACCACCCCCATTTTACCTGGCTAACATCTGGTTCGTGCCCAAGATCCACCTGAAACATCCCTCTTCCAGGAAGCCTTATCCCTACATGGGTGTCCTGCCACCCTGCCATGAACCCCCTCTGTCTCCCATCGGAATATCCATTGTTCAGTCGTACTTCCTGGTTTATGGCTGTCTTCCCCACAAGGCTGAGCTCCAGGGAGCAGGGCCACCTGTGACCTGTTCACCCCATTTTCGGTGGCCTGACAACACGCCTTCATGCATTCTTTCTGCCAGCATTTGCTTCCTAAGGAAGTTTTTACTGAAGTATAATTCTGTATGGTTTTACTGCAGTAATTCACTCTTCACTCATAGAACTGTTCTGTGCATTTTCAGTCATGATACAGAATAATTCCATCGTCCCCCAAATATTCCCTCTTGTCTCTCCCACTTAGTGGCCTCTGGTCTGTTTTCTGTTCCTGTAATGCTGTCTTTTCTAGAACGTCATTCACAGGCATGATACAAGATGCAGCCCCTGAGTCCATCACCAGCGTCTCAGTTATGTACCAAGCCCTGTGGAAGAAATAGCAATCTGTCAAGTGATTTATGGTGAATGAAGACTTTAGAGAAATAAATCTGTTTCAATACAATTTAATAAACTACTCTAAAAAAAAGTCAAATTCAGATTGTGTTAACATAGCACCAACTATGTGGCGGGTTCATTCCTTACTACATCTGCAGTTTTCAGATAAGGAGATCAGGATGTTCTAAGCAGTTAAGAATCACATTCAAGTCCAGACACGGTGGCTCGGCCTGTAATCCCAGCACTTGGGGAGGCCAAGGCAAGAGGACTGCCTGAGCCTGGGGTTCAAGACCAGCCTGGACAACTTGGTGAGACCTTGTCTCTACAGTAAATCACAAAAATCAGCCGGGCGTGGCGGCATGCGTCTGTAGTTCCAGCTACTTGGAACGCCAAGGTGGAAGGGTCGCCTAAGCCCAACAGATTGAGGCTGCAGTGGCCGTGAGCGTGCCACTGCACTCCAGCCTGGGAGACATGGTGAGACTCCAACTCAAAAAAAAAAAAAAATCACATTCAAGTTAACACAGCCGGCCAGTAGAGGGAGCCCTATCCCAAGTTCAGTGCCTTCATGGCAAGTTCAGGACTCCTCTGCCTTTCTTTTTTTTAATTATTGTTTGTAATTGCATGGAATGGAGCAAGGCTTTGTTCTTTCAAAGAGTACTGTTTTAATTGGAGGGTTCCAGCTGCTAATTTTTGGAAAAGAAAAGGCAACGTTTCTTCTCTGCTGGCCACACGCTTTGTCCTGTCAGGATGGATGAGGAGTCAGACGGGCAGCCGGCTCTCGCCCCGCAGAGAGCCCGCCCACCCTGGCCCCTGCCGTGGGGCTGTGGCTGCTCTTGATGGGCTTGGTTTTGTCATGCCGGGCCTACCGCTGGGGCTGGGGTGCTTCCTGGAAATCGCCTCTAAAAAGCAACTTTCTTTTCAACACTACGTTCTGAGCGGGGGGATTCATGGTGTCTCCAACAGGCCCGCGTGCTGTGGCGTCTGTCCACACCTATCCAAAGCATGTGGGCCTGGCCCCGCTTTCTGCGACCTGAGACCAGGGCCACATCTGTACGTGCGTGTCTGTCGGTGAGCCCGTTGTCTCCGAGAAGAGCTCTCAGCTTCCGGTCGTTTCCTGCCTTTCACACTCACACAGACAGTGGAGCAGCAGACGCAAGCTGGCTCTGGCAACTTGCCGCCCTGTGTCACTTCCACACGTCTGGGTGTTTCGGGGCCCAGACAGGGTTCTGCCTTTGTCTGTCGTCACACGTGGGAGCACAGAGGGACACCAGTGATGGTGGGGAGCGCCTCTGTTTCATCTCACAGGGGTCCTTTGTGGCAAAAAGACAGGCCAGTGGCTTGCAGAGACTAAGGCTTGCACAGCCGCTGAGTCCCTGGGTGCACCCTCCTCTACCGTGCCTGGAACAAAACAGGGAGGCGGTATAGCAGCCAGCGCCCCGCGGTTTATTAGCCAGGCAGCCATGATTTTGACCTTGCTGCGGGTTAAAGGACACAAACCTGAGAAGAAATCTGTTTATCATGTGGGGAATTCGTGCCATCCCTGACAGTATACAGTGAGCAAGACGGATGATCTGCCACATCGGTCGCTCGCATGGGTGGATCAGGGCGAATTTACAGTGCAATTCCTTCGCTGCTTCAGATACAAAAATAACATTTGCTGGGTTTCATATCCAGTTGTGTGGTGACCTGAGGGTAAGCAGGGGGAAGAAATCTGATTTGTAGGAGTCGTATTGCCTTAAAGATTTATATGGACCATTTCCTCCTTTTACATCTATCTCTTTTACATCTTTTACAAACGAGTTTTGTTCGGTTTTTTGTGTTTTTTTGTTTGTTTTTTAACCTGATTTCCTAGGTCAAGGACACGGCTTTATCTGATGATGAAACATGGTACCAGCTCAGGACAGTAAATGGGTTTTGCGCGTGAAATACACTTGCTTTGTTTCAGGCTTTGCTCTTTCTTTTTTTTTTTTTTTTTGAGTTGGAGTCTCACTCTGTCGCCCAGACTGGAGTGCAGTGGCCGCTCCCGGCCACCGCAGCCTCGACCTGCTGGGCTCCGGCGATCCTTCCGCCTCAGCCTTTCGAGTAGCCGGAATTACAGGCACACGCTACCACGCCCGGCTGATTTTTTGATTTATGGTAGAGATGAGGTCTCGCTGCCCAGGCGGGTCTCGAACCCGCGGGCTCAGGCAATCCACTCACCTCAGCCTCCCAAGGTGCGGGATTCCAGGCTGAGCCACCGAGCCCGGCTGGGCTTTGCTCTTTCTAGGTATTAATTCACCATACTCCTTGTGTTTGGAATCCATTTTCAGTAAGTTGTCCTGAATATGATCTGTCTGTTATAACAAAGGATACTCGGTTGTGTGGCAAATTGAAGTTAAATTCCTGCTCAGGATGGCCTTTGCTGTTTAGTCAGGTGACAAAACTGGGGGCACTGACAGGGTGTGCTGATGTTGGCTGAATGACCTGCCAGAAACTGAGTAGAGTAAGACCCTGTCCGCCCTCTGTGGCATGTCATTTCCCTGGGACCATCTCTCTGACCCCACGTGGCACTGTGGGTCTCACCATCTGTGGGCCTCAGGGCTGAGGAGAAACTAGGCCAAGACCCTGGGCGGGGCCCGTGGCAGGACAGCACAAAGCCACTTCACGTGTTCCCCCTGGACAGGCTTCCTCTGTATCCGAAAATTGGGAAATGGCCAAGGTCTTCATTCCAGACACCCCAAAACCAGAATCAAGCCTGCGTTGTCAGATTTTGCGGGTGGCACTAACAGAAAGGCCAGAGGGAGTACGGGGTGACATTTCCCACTGTGCACCTGCAGTGGCCCAAAACAGAGGCCCTTCTTAAGGCGATGTGGATGCCTGCTTGCTGCCTCCAGTGTCAGTGGCCGTGTGGTGGAGATGGACCAAGGGCTTGGTTTCAGAAGCAAGCACACCAGTGAGTGCCGGGCTTCCGTGTAGGTCTCTGAGACGGAGGCGCTGAGAGCAGAGCAGGGCTCCCTCCTCTTGGACGCCCTCGTCCCTGCCTGGAGGCGGGTGCTGTGCAGCCCCTCAGCGGTCACAGTGGAGGCCAGCCTGGATCCCGAGGCCAGCACTGGGCCACAGGCAGGGGCCAGCAGCTGGGGTCTGAGGCTTCCTTTAAGGCTCTTCACACCTGTGGTGACCACACTTCACGGGCAGCCCTCGTTTAAAATGATCTGACCATTCTGCTACTTCTTCTGGAAATACAGACCAAATGACCACACAAGTTATCATACGGCCAAGGTACTTCTGAATGAGAAAAGTGTGGAGTTTTATTAGGCGAAATCATGACAGTGATAACGTGACTAATATGACAGGCATTTCTTAGCAGACTGCCCTCATATTAAGCCTTCAGAAACCTTTTATTTAAACCCCTAGTTTTTCTTCTATTTGTGCTATTTTGGGTTTTTTAATACAGAAAATTAGAGGTTACTCTCTGTCAGAAAACGGCAACAATTCATTAAGACCCATAGGATACTGTACTGTACACTTCTTGCACAGACGTTTAATTAGTATTTCCTAGGTGGGGAATAGAGAAGCTCGTGGTGGAAGACAGCCATTCTCAGGCACAGTTTCTCGTGTGCTTTAATTACAGAAAGCACTCCAAAGACCTCTGCCAGCTGCAGCCCCGCCCCCGAGTCCCCGATGAGTTCCAGCGAGTCTGTGAAGAGTTTGACTGAACTGGTCCAGCAGCCCTGTCCCCCCATCGAAACGAGCAAGGACGGCAAGCCGCCAGAGCCCAGCGACCCTCCGACGTCCGACTCCCAGCCCACCACCCCGCTGCCCCTCTCCGGACACTCAGCCCTCAGCATCCAAGAATTAGTAGCCATGTCCCCAGAGCTGGACACCTACGGCATCACCAAGAGGGTCAAGGAGGTGCTGACGGATAACAACCTCGGTAGGTTCTGGTCTCCGCCGCGCCGTCAGGAGGCGCCGGGTCGTGCCCTGCGAGGGGAACAGGCCGGCGGCCCAGGCTGAGCCAGCCGAAGGGTTTACACTTCCGTGCGCTGCCTGAAGGACGTGAGGCGTCCTGTAGCGGGGAAACCGGAGGGGCCCGCGCGGGGCTCATTCTACAGGGAGTCCCCGCCTCCTCCGGCCTCGCACCCGCCAGGGGCCCCTTGGAAGATGGGCACGTAGGTTCGACGGTCTTTACCGAGACGCACCCAGTAGAGTCCCAAATCCTCAGTCGGCGCCAGAGCCGGGCAGGACTGCGTCTGCCCAGTAGAACCCAGACGGCTTCGTGGAAGAGTCTGGCAGGCGGGATCCGCATCCTCCTCCTGCTCACTGTGTCTGTGGTGCTGGGCAAGCTGCTTCCACCGCTGATCCCCTCAGTACATAGCGGTGCCTACCTGGCACCTCGCCTGGCAGCTGGCGATTCTCACTGTTAATTTCTGGGACGGCTGTTGCCCCTGCTGCCCCACGAAGCAGTCTCCATTCCTCAGCTCTGCCACCGGGACACGCGGCCCCATTATCCCATGTGCATCAGACCCAGGCCCCACCTGGCAAGCACTCCCGCCCTCCAGGGCTCTGCCAGGTGGCTCGGAGGCTCTGTGTCACTGCTCGTCGGTCACTGTGGCTATAAGAATGTTAGGGTATTGCCTGGCTTAGGCCTGCAGAGGGTGGAGACAGCCCCTCTGTCCCTAGGATTCGCAGCTATGGGAGGCCACAGAGGAGCCGCATTCTCATCGCCACTGCAGCCAAGACAAGCCACAGAGTGGCTGGATGTGTCCGCTACACAAGGAGGGGCTTTGTATGTCTTTTGTTTGTCCTGGGGGAGGAGAAGAGGAGAGAGTAGCTGAGCTCCAGTAAGGTTCACCCACTGACCCAGCAGCCTGGGTTAGGCCAGCGTGTCCAGCTGAGGCCTCCTGCCCCGCTGTCTGCAGCATGCTGTACAAAGCAGAGCCGGGGGAAAGTAATTATCAGCTGAGCCCACGTGTCGTTAAGTTGATTCATAAAAATAAAACCATAGCTCTTGGTTTGAAAAAACGGCTAAGTCCCATATGTTGATCAATTATTGAAACGTGCAGGGATTCCTAGACTTGAGTCAGCCCTCTTCACAGTCTTGTCACACATCCAAGGATGCAGGCCAGATACTTTACTGCTGTCTGTCCCCTCATAGGAAGTGTCATTTCATGTAAATGTGGAAAATCAACTGAAGAAAAGTCTAACTTTAAACACTGATCGTGGCAAGATTGCAGTTAGGAGACTGAGGACACTGAACTCAGCCCTTGGCTTTGCCGCCTGCATCTCCTTCATGGCTGGAGTTGTAGTTGACGCTGGTCTCCTTGGTGAGGATCGGGAGCTTTGTGCGGGTTCTCAAGCAAGTCTGTGACCCAGAAATGGCCGAGCGCCGCGGCTAGGAAAACTCTAGAAGCAACACAAGCAGTTTTCCAATGATAATCACTTGATGTCTTTTTCCCCATAAAACGGGGGGCGGGGGCGACAAGCAGTTAGTAACTAGCTGTTCCCATATACTGCTTTCCTGAACATAGCGAGCTCCTTGGAATAAAAAGAGAGTCGTTTGGCAGGTTAGAATGAAGTAAAATGCTTGGTTTTTGTTTTTTAAGTCAGAGTCTCACTCTGTCACCCAGGCTGGAGTGCAGTGACACAGTCATGGCTCACCACAGCCTTGACCTCCCGAGTTCAGGCAATCCTTCAGCCTCAGCCTCCTGAGTAGCTGGGACTACAGGTGTGTACCACCACACCTAGCTAATCTTTTTATTTTGTGTAGAGGCAAGGTCTCGCTATGTTGCCTAGGATGGTCTTGAACTAGACTCAAGCCAGTCCTCCCACCTGAGCCTCCCAAAGAGCTGGGATTACAGGCATGAGCCACCGTGCCTGGCCTAGAATTAAGTAAAATTTATTTAAAACAATCACAAAAAAAAGAAAGAAAAACTGGTGAGGACTGGGGGCGTTTTTGAGCTACACTATGAGTCTGAAAAGCAGAGAGGTTTACAAAACCTGTAAATGGGTCTCTGGGGGAAAATGACTCCGCCAGGTGCATAGTCCTGCCATCCCCTCCTGTCATCCCAGCGACTTGAGAAGTGGTGGCAGAAGGATCGCTTGAGCCCAAGAGTTCAAGTCCAGCCTGGACAATGTGATGAGATCTCATCTCTTTTAAATCATAAAATTGTTTTTTAAAAGACTGGTACAAAAAATATATATTATAAAATTCAAAGCTTTCCACACAGTAAACTTTTACTTGGCGGCCTGCTTTTCACAAGCCGGTGCTGTTATTTTCTTCTGTAGCCTCCCTGGGAGCACAGGCGGGGTGTTTCTCTTTCACACGTGGAAGACATGAGCCATGAGGGAACAAGCCAGTCCTCCGCGGGCTTGCAGACCCTGAGGGGAGAGGTGCTCTCGGCCCGAGATTCCCCACTCTGCACGCTTTGTGGAACCAAACCCAGGTCTCTCTGATCCCAATCTCCATTTCCACCTAATGAGCCCTGTTTGTTAGGTTCTCCCGTCAGGTCATTCAGGCTGTGACTGATGCTAATTTGTATCTTTAAAAGTGGTGGCCCTCTTCAGCGGCCGCTGGATGGCTCCCAGAGAAATGAGCTGCTCTTTTAAGCCCCTGACAAACAGTGCCAGCTTAATGCCGCTGTGCTCTCCAGAGCGAAGTGCCCTCTGATCAGCCTGTGAAACTGGCCGCTCACCCCGGCCTGGGAGAAGAAAAGGTATCAGGGACAGGGCTTTGATCCACTCTGAACTGGATTGAGCAAAGGCGGCTCAGACTGCGGGAGCAGACTCTGGAATTGGAAATGGCTTGTCTCTCAACAAGACAGAGCAGGGAGCTCTCTCTCCTCCGCTTTCCTGCTGTGACCCTGGGTCAAGTGGGCTGTTTTCTCAGCAGGACCCAACGACCTTGCTGATCGTGAAAGGAGACGCCACAGCCCTCTGGTTTGAGAGTGTACAAGCGAGGTCCCCGTGTGCTGCTCGACCTCCTGAGCCCAGCTGAAGGGTTTAACTGAGAAATGCCACAGGTGTTATCAGGCCTCAGTTCACCCACAGCCCAAAGGCTTTTTTGAGAGAAGTGTTGTTTGCTGTGTGCAAGGGGAATGCAAGAGCAATGCCAGCTCCCTTGCCAACAGAGTTTGTTAGAAGTCTGGTTAAAGAAATCTGTCCCCAGAGTGCTTGTTCTAAGTCAGGACCCAGCCCGCCCAGCTTAGACGCTGGGCCTTTAAACTCTCGCATCTGAGTTTAGCCTGGACAAATACTTGGCCTCTCAGACCCCTGGCTCTCGGCAGTGAGACCTCTCTCGGCTGTTCTCTCTCCAGGTCAGCGCTTATTTGGGGAGACCATCTTAGGACTCACTCAAGGCTCCGTCTCCGACCTCCTTGCCCGCCCGAAGCCCTGGCATAAGCTCAGCCTGAAGGGACGGGAGCCCTTTGTCCGGATGCAGCTGTGGCTGAATGACCCCAACAATGTGGAAAAGCTGATGGACATGAAGCGGATGGAGAAGAAAGGTGCCTCTCCCCCACCCTCGCCCCCATTTACAAGATTTTTCTTAAGTCCTTCACACAGAGCTGATGAGGGACGTTGACCCGTGACCGAGGACGGACTGTAAGACAGGGCAAACATTTTCTGACAGTCACCAGCTAATGAGTACCTACAAGGACTGGGGAAATTTGCAACTTTTTCCGTCCAGCAGCCTGAATCTAAAGTTTGTTTTGTTTTGTTTTGTTTTAGCATTGGGAGCTCTTTTAACCAAGGAGGGCAGCACAGCATTGGGTAGTAGTGCATCTGGTTGTCTTTGTTGTGTGGGTGGCAGGGTGGAGTATAACAGTGTGAGCTGTGCATGTACCACAGCTAACTCTGTTAGTAGACTAAGAATTAAGAAATGCATTTTGTAGATCAGGAAATCCAGATTCAGAGAGGCTAGGTGCCTCCACCAAGGTCACTCAGCCTGGAAAGTGGTAGAGCAAACTCCTGCCAGAATGGATATCTCTCTGGTTATTATTTTCTAGCCTCTGGGGACACGGTCTCTTGAGAGAGGTGACGCCACAGGCCCCACACGCCATCTCGAATGTTGACTGGCATTCTTCTTGTAGGCTGTAGGCTACAACACAGGAAAAAGCCCAAAGCCAAGTCTGCTTTGCCTCATGGTTTGTAGTTGCTGAGTGAGGGTCTTGCTAGCAAGTCGGCTTGTGGACTCACGGTCCTCAGGTTGTCCACGGTGCCTACGCAGAGACTGGGCACCAGCTGCTGGTCTGACTGTACGAAGCTGTGACCACTCTCCTTGATCAGCTAACACAGAGGGCCTAAACGAAGATGGGCATCACAAGCCTCTGGGGGGCTCTGCCCGCCCCGCCCCCACAGAGTGTCTGCACCCAGCGAGGCCTGTGTCCTCTCTCCTCAACGGAGGTGCTAGCTGAGCATCACCAGTCACAGCCAGCCAGGAACAGGGCTGCAGAAGAGCCAGATCTCTGGTGTCTCCTCCAGCAACTCTGTGGGGCCAGAGGCTTCCGTTCTCTGAGAACTGTGCTCCCTGTTGGCCAGACACCGTGCTGAGACTTCTCCCGGTCCTCACTGTTCTGTGTAGGTGCCGTTACCCAGCAAAGATGAGACTCAGGCACTCCTGGGGCCTGCCTGGTTTCAGCAGCTGGCATCAGTAGGGAGCAGGCCGTCAGACTTCAGCGCAGCTGCTTCTAAACATATGTCCGCTGCCTCCGTGCTGAGAGCCTACCCCTCTGGGGCCCACGGGCACTACAGGCGCCCACTGGCCATGCCTCCCCCACCCCACCTTTGGCCTCGGCGCGCTCTGGCCTGCCATCAGTGTAGACAAGGCTCCGGCTCAGGCCAGGCCTCCTAGACAGTGCCGTGGGCTTCAAGGCCTGCTGCCAGCACCCCTAAAATTTTTCAGCTTCTTACTGTGGGAAATTTCAAACTAGACAGAAGTGGAGAGAATAGTATCACGACCCCAATACTCCTGTTGCTGAGTTTCCATTGTGATCATCAGGACTCATCAAGCAATTTTAAAGTTTCGACTCTGTCAAAAGGCAGGGCCTCCACCTTGAGCCCCATGAGGCCGTGCGCTCAGTGCCAGGGCGGGGCCTCGCGGCAGCCCTCAGGCCTCAGGAGAGAGGAGGCCCTGCCTCTGCCCTCCCTGGAGTGTTCCCTTCCCGGACTGGTGGAAGAGGACCTCGGTGGGCCCGAGCGTCTTCAGGGCTTCCTGGGCCTCCACTCTTCCCTGCGCACGAGCTCGGGCGCCCTCTTGTGTCACCAAAGAGTTACTGTTTCCGCAGGACTCAAGCCCCCTCCCCGCAAGTCGAGGTCCCCAAAGCAGCTGCAGCCCGCGGCCTTCTCCGCCGGTGGGGTGTTGGCCTCCGGGCCGCTCCCTAGGAAGGCCTTCACCAGCCCCGAGGGAGACCAGGCCCTGGCCTGTCAGACCCAGCCCTCCCACCGTGCGATGCGCCCCACCCCCCCCATCGTCTCCCATGGGAGGCAGCCAGAAAGTCTCGCCCACTGGCCGGGCCAGGCTTACTTTCTCGTGGCCCTTGACTATGCCGCATTGATTTTTTTGGAGAAGACTTACCTTCTCGGTCGTTCCCTCATTCTCATGTCAAAATGGCACGCTCGCCATTTTGGTTAGATGCCCCCTCGCCTAAGCTCTCACGTCTGAAAATGAGGGTGACAGTGCTGACTTGGTCACAGGATAACGAGCACACACAGAAGTGCCCCGTGAACGAGCGCTACTGACTTGTGCTTCTGGAAAGGCCTCGTGCCTCCAGCCTAGCCTAGAGTAAAAACAGGACAACAGGTCCCGCGTCGCGCCGGTTCACGCACACACTGTGCCTCCTTCTGTCCCAGAAGCCCCCGTCTCCCTCAGCGCTCATCCTTGACCTTCCATTCTTCCCCTTTCTTTCTCTCTCGTAAATCTTCTCTGCCCTAGTCGCCTTCTGCTTTCCTGTTCCTGTCGTGAGACCCTGTTCGCAGTCGTAAGCATGTGGATGTTCACGTGCACACACGCACTCGGAGCCTCGGCTGTCTCGGAGGTCTCTTGTCCCTGGTGGCCGCAGGCGGACCCTGACGGTCTTTACGCTTCTCCTTTGACGTTTCCTTGAGACCTGAAACATCAGTGCTGCCGGAGCGTCTCCTTAGCCTGCTGTGGCCCCCACGGACACTGCCTCGGTTCCTGCTCATGGGCTGCAGTCCCGCAGGAGCGCAGGGGACCGGCCACCCTCTTGCAGAACAGGCTGCACTGCCCTCGTCAGGCTCGGTTGTGTCTCCTGCTGGCTGTGGCCGCACGTGACTCACTCCACCTCTCTAAGCTTCAGGGTCCTCGCGTGTCCATCGGGTCCCAGTAGCATCTCCCACAGCCTGACCGTAAGCCTTAACTGGCAGCCATGCGCTGATGACGACCCTGCCGCTCGGACGGTGACTTGAATTAAGTAGCATGTCTCATCCTCTGTCAGTTATGAGAACTTTTAAAGAATGTTCTTGGAAGGCTGAGGCGGAAAGATCGCTGCAGCCCAGCAGGTCGAGGGCGCAAAAAAAGAACGTTCAGACCATATTCCAAACTGGCCCCCAGAAAGATAAATGCGGACAACTCATTTGCTGAGGAATCAGAGTGGCTTTAGCTGGAAGCCCAGTTGCCAGTTACTGGCGCACAGCAGGGAGCACAGAGCCTCCAGAACCCAACCTGCGTGGGCTCACCCTTCCGCCCAGGCACGTCCCGCGTAGCAGACCCCACGCCCTGAGTCTCTGACCCTCGCCCACCTCCACAGCTGCCTCCTGGTCCCGCACCCACAGCACCCAGACAGGCTGCCACGGGAGCGCCCTGCCCCGCCTCTGCCACCCTCCAGCGCTCCCCCCCCAGCCTCCTGCTTTTCTCTGCTCTGCCTCAAGACTGGCCCGGGCTGTTACCTTCCTCCAGGCTCCACGCCCTGCCTTGTCCAGGGGCCTGTCCTGCCCCGCGGAAGGCTCGCCCACCCACCCGGCTCTTTGACCTCCTAGCCCCTGGCTACGCTGACTCCTCCATCCTGACACCGGCACCCCTCGCTGGCCACACCCCACCCACACTCCATCTTCCCGTCTTCGCCCACCCGACTCCAGACCCGGGACGCCCCCTCCGTGCTCCCCGCCAGGCTGCCCTCTGCTGCATGCCTCCCCTTCCCCAGCCCCGCCCGGACTTCGGCTCCTCTCGCTGCCCCTCCCCCCGAAGCCCCGCCTGGATGAGTGCTCCCATGGGTCCATCCACCCGCCCTCCTCGGCCGCAGGCTCCTGGGAGGACACCCCTTGCCCACCGGGGCTGATGCCGCCTCAGCCCAGTGTCTCCCCCTTCCGTGGGGCCGCCTGCGCTCGCCCCAGCCGGGTCCTTCCGTCCCGCCCTTGCCCTCTCGGCTGCTGTCCCACCTCTTCACCCCTCACCCGTCCCCCCTTGCCCTCTTTCTCACGAAGAAAGGCTCTCGACCCCCACTCAGCCCTCGTGAACCGCTCTGTCCCTGCCCCTCCTACCCACGTCCAGGACCCGTCCTCACCTCCAGGCATCAGACCGTCGCCCACATCCCCAGCTGGCATCCTCAGCCGGCTCCCCTCAGCCTAGAAGCCTCACCACGCTCCTGTCTCTGAGCCCGCCCCCAACCCCGGATTTCCCTCCCAGAAGCCCCTCTGTCCACGTTTCTCTCACAGCCAGGCTTCTCAAGGTGGTAATTCGGCCTCTGACTGGGAAGGGGAGTTGAGCCTCCCGCTGACTGGCTGCCGCTCCCACGACTCCCGGGGTCTGTCCCCAAGGTCTCCCAGTCTCCAGTCCTCTCCCAAGCCCCGGATCCGGAGGGCATCGAGTCCCTGTCAGACTCTGCGTTGTGCGATGTAGTTGGCCACCCCTCCCCAGCGACTCAACCCTCTGATGCTGTGGCCTCCTGGGATCCCTGCTGTCTGTCCCCGTGGCCGCCTCGTGGGGAGCATCCCTTCTGTGCTGGCCTTTCCCAGGTCCCCTCATCAACCTCCTTCCCGTCTGCGTCACTGGCTTCAACCTCAGCTTCCACTCTGATGGCTCCCAGATTCCTCTCACCAGCCCCGGCCGTTCTTCCAGGCTCCCTGGCTAGGTCTTTCCATCTCTTCCCGTTGCCTTCAGGGCGAAGCCCAAACTTTTGGCCCACCGGGCTCTGCCCCTCGCCAGCCTCACGCTGCCACAGCTCCATCCCTGCAGTGCGGGGCTTTGACGGCAGTTTCAAGCCTCCAGCCGTGTCTGTGCTCTTCCTACTTTTGACCAGCCGCCTGCCATCTTCCACTGGGTCGCCTCTTTTCCTGGCCAAATCAGTCACCCTTGTCCTCCAAGACTCGTTTCAGCATCGTCTCTTCCGGGAGGCCTTGCCTCCCCCGTGCACTCTGCTTGTGGGCGTCTATCTGGACGCTTCTCTGTGACCCCCACGAAACCCTTAAGCTGTGCGGGACAGGCGGGGACCTGGTCTTCCCTCAGAGCAAGTCCTTGGTGTGTGCTAGACGACAGAATGGCTCCGGTCCAGGTGTTTAGAGATGCTGTAGCCAAGAGTCACTGCGGGCCAACGCTGCACCGTCGCACTAGCGGGCTCAGGGATTGGGGCTGGTCTCCCAGCTGGGCCTTGACCCCAGTCTGCCCTCTCTCTCCCCAGCCTACATGAAGCGGCGGCACAGCTCCGTCAGTGACAGCCAGCCCTGCGAGCCCCCCTCCATTGGCACCGACTACACCCAGGGCGCCAGCCCCCAGCCCCAGCACCAACTGAAGAAGCCCCGCGTGGTGCTGGCTCCCGAAGAGAAGGAAGCCCTGAAACGCGCTTATCAGCAAAAGCCATACCCGTCACCAAAAACCATCGAAGACCTCGCCACCCAGCTCAACCTGAAAACCAGCACCGTCATCAACTGGTTCCACAACTACAGGTGCGGCCCCCCGTAAGGCCCAGCTCCTTGCCCCCTCCGCCCTGGGTTGGGGGGGCTGTCCGCCGGCATGGGGGTGGTGCTCTGGGGGCTGAGATCTTGGTGTCTGGTCGGTTGGCTGGTTCTTTGTCGTTTTGTTGGAGCGCTTAACCCAAGACGCAGGGTTGCATTCCTTCCAGTCACCGTCACATGGAGACAGTGCACATGTGCCATAACCAAGACAAAATCATCACCTCATGGTCCCATCATTCTATAAGGGGGTGAGGAGGCATTCATGGCTCCCTAGTAATGAATGTCTCTCTCGCTGTGATTTTTTTGGTGCTTTATCGAGGTCTTTAGCAGTAACCAAATTAGTTTGGTTCGTTTTGTAATTAAATAACCCCATCATTTAAGACCCTTTCTTTTGGGGAAGTCTGTGAGTTGACGAGACTTACTGAGCACCTCCTAGATCCCCAGCCACTGAGCGAAATGCTTGAACCGATGTTAAGATGTGATTCTCACAACTGTAGGAAAGACACAGCACTACCTTCCTGCTCCGGAGGAAAGTCATAAAACTCACAGGGGTTGAGCAGGTCAGGGCGCAGCGTCCAGCAGAACAAAGTGGACTGGGCTAAAGAGGTTTGGAGTGGACCATGGAGAGCCACTGAAGGACCATGGGTTGTCGGCCAGAGCTGTCACCACAGTCCCTGCTGCTGGAAACCAGGACTCCCGGGAGAGCAGGGAAATTCTGAATGAATGCCATCTCAGTTGCCACTTCTCAGCAGCATGTCATTCTCTCCAGGGCTCAGTAACATTGGGGTAGGTGCTCCTGGTTAAACCAGTGTGACAGTGCACATGTGTAGCTAGGGAAGGCGGGGCCCTCGGCCCTCACCGAACAGTGACAGGCAGGAGAAGATCACAGCCAGGGGCTGGAGGGAGCACTTGTGTCTCCAACTGGGCCCTGCCTCATCCACAAGCTCTGCTGGGGTTTCTGCGGGGGCCAAATAAGCCACCCAGGCTGTGAACAAATTGGGAAAACTTAAAATATCAGATGGGGCGAAATCACACCTTTATTGCCCACAAAGGCTAAGTGAGAGGATGCAGCTTAGAGTGAGAGCTGAGCGACCTGCTACTTGGACCCTAGAACCAAGCAGGCTTCTCCACCGTGGCAGCACTGGCCCTGGGCAGGCTTCCTCATTGCGGGGGTTAGCTCCCGTGAGAACAAAGGAAGTCCAGGAGCTGAGCACAACCAGCTTATTCATTCCAGATTTGCCAATCAGATAAGAACAGAGGCAGAGGGAGGCCAGCAATTAGAACAGCGGAGCTCACTAGTGGAAGGAAACTTCCAGAGGCATGAAGTGAAATGACGGAGAATGACAGGAAACACAGGCGAGGTTTACTGGTGCCTCTCCCTGCCAGGTGTTATGCACTCGCATTTTCACTTTCAAGACACAAAGAAGCATCAGACCAGGTCCTTCAAGCCTCCTGCAGGTCACGTCCACTTCACTGTGAGGATGGCCACTCTCACTGCGATACAGAAGTGGCTCGGGCCACTGAGTAGCTGGGCGTAGTGGCTGCTGGTTACACAACACATCTCCAAAGCCATTGCCCTGGCCCTGCCACTTTTCCCCGGTTCCCCTACAGGCCTCGGCTGAGTGGTGGTCACTGCCTCCTGGCCAGAGCCCGCTCCCCTGGCATTCCCAGCCGCTGTCACCTGTCCTGGTCTTGTGACAACCATGGTGATGCCTGTCACCCGCTGTCCCACTGATGGCTGTGAAGGTGCCACTGTGGTGCATTTCACGCCCCTGACAAAAGTGGAGAGAGCGGCAGAGAGCAAGAGCAGCGGTGGGACCTCAAAGCTTAGGAACCCAGCCCAGGCCTGGATTCAGAGGAGATGCCCGATAGACACTTTCTTTCCGAAACGGTGCCACGGCAGAGCAGCTTGGGCTAAGTCAAATGGGAGACCCGAGGGCAAAGATTAGCTCAGGTGCAGAGACCTGGAAAAGTGTCACTGAAGAGGCCTGAGATGAGCAGTCGAAGGAGGACGGGCCTAGGGAGGAACTGTATAAGCAGCAAAACAGGTTGAAGACGTAGCACCAGGTCACTCAGACGCGGCATGAAGCTCAGAGCAGTGAGGTCACTGGCCCCAGGTCAGCCAGCAGGTCAGATGCAGAGCAGAGATGCAAACTGAACACTCTCTCCCTGGCTTTAGTTCTTCCATGAAGTGCGCAGTACAGACCGCTTGGCCTGCAGTCGCCACAGAACTTCCAACAGCCACAACACTCGCCACTCAGCACCCACACACTCAGCGGGTGACGATCCTGAGAAGGCAGTTTTGCCTGCTGTACTGGAACCCTCAGGAAGCAACGCTTGGGCCCAGTTTTGCCCCTGCTAAAAATTTAAGCTTTACCTCCTCTGATCCTTACACCTTAAGGGAATTAGAAGTATTTCAGGCTCTCAGGCTGACCCTTCACCTAGAAACGGGGCCAGGAATGCCAGAACAACACATCATGGGACACTGGCTCCCTTCTGGAAGAACAGGCCACCCAGTAGAAACTCTTCCGAGCCCTAAAAGTCATGGTGTCGTGTGAGCCTTGTGTGACTTGCTTGAGAACCAGAACTGCTCCTGGAACCCTGTCCATCCAGGCCAGAGTATTACTTAACAAATGCGGCGACAAATCTAGGCTGAGCACGACGATGTCTCGTACCGTTGAGCACACAGCATGTGCCAGGCACTGAGCCACGTTTTTACAGGTGTGCACTGAACCCTCCCATCAGCACCCGAGTGCCGTGCTGCTGACCCCACTTTACAGACAGAGGCTGTTCACGTCCACCAGGCTGGGGCACGAACCCGGCCCCGCCCTGCTGAGGATGTCCCCTCGCCAGACCAGCCCTTGCCTTGGCCCTCGTGCTTATCACAGCACTCAAAAGGCAGCTGGGCAGGAAGACTAGTCACCCTTTTTTCGAGTGTCTATTTTGTGTCCTCCATCATATAGCATTATATCTCATCTGAATAACATTTCTGCAAGGAAGACATCGCTCTCCGCATTTCTCAGATAAAAAAGCTGAAGCTAACAACGGTTAAGTAACTTGTCCCAGTTGCACAGCCAGTAAATGGCACAGCCGGATTTCCAACCCAGGTGTTCCTGGCTCCAAAAAGCCTGTGCCGTCTTTTGGGCCTGGCTAGGACTAAATCTTCACTACCTGTCTAGCCTCCCACCTCCCCAGCTGGGGTGCGTGGGACTGGGGGTTCACCCCAGCTGGCCTCTCAGTGCCTGGGAACCTGATCCTAGAAGCTGACATTTCCCAGGCTCCCAAAGTAGCTACAGGCAAGGAGGAAAGTCCTTTGTTACTCCTGGAGACTTCTGGGCGTCCTTCTCAGAATCTCACCTTTCTGAACCAGAGCTCAGACCTCTTCAGGACCAGGTTCGGAGCTCGCTCACTGCGGGAAACGGATGACTGTGGCAGATTCACACCCCCCCTTCTGGTAACCCTGGACTAAATGAGAGCGGGTCCTCCCCAGGGTGGTCCCCACAGCCAGCACAGGACTAGAGTGGAGCAGGCTCTCATATAAACTCCTTTACTGAGTCGTGCGCGTTGCCGGAATACTTTCTTGCATGCTTGCCCGGGGGCTTTCCGCAGGCCCAGTTTCTACAATGACACTGGGCCTGGTGCGCATTCGCCTGGAGATGCTCTTCTGCTCATGGTTTGCGGGTCACCAGAGGCTTTCTCGGTCCTTAAGAAACACCTGGAGAGGCCAGGTGCCTCATACCCGTAATTCCAGCACTTTGGCAGGGGAGGCAGGAGAATCACTTGAGCCCAGGAGGTCAAGACCAGCCTGGACAGCATAGGGAGGCCTCCCCGCTAGGAAAAATAAGCGGGGCGGGGGCGCACCCGCAGGCCTAGCTACTCGGGCGGCTGAGGCTGCAGGGAGCCGCCATCGTTGGGCCCTGCACCCAGCCCGGCGACCCGGCTCAGAAGTGGGGACGAGACTCCCAGAGACGGCTGGGGGAGCCTAGTGCGGTTAGCACGACGGGCGGGCACGCGGCGGAGACTCAGCAAGAGCCCTTTCGTGGCGG